AGTAAGGGCAAATTCACATCATGAAATTGATTCACGTCGTCATGTAGCATATTGAAGGCATAAAGTAGTAAAAGAATTGACCACATGTGACAATTTTTTCAGATCATGTAATGAAATTCTGACATCGTATTATACATTGTAGCGACTTCATATTGAGTTAAAGATAAATTCACATCATGTAATGAACTACTTAGACCAAATAGTAGAGAGTGCACATAATGTAATAATGAGTTGAAAATATATAAAAACATTTTTACACCACGTAAAATTGTTTTGACTTGATGTCATAAAGAGCTGATATAATGCAGTGGAAGATTGGCGCAATGTAATTAAAGTGCGAGTTAATGCCATAAAGACTAAACATAATGTAATTGAAAGTTGACATAACGCAATAGTACTGTGTGTAATTGTCATAAAGAGTTGACATAATGTAATGAAAGGTTGACACAATGCAATAGTAGTGTGGACTAATGTCATAAAGAGTTGACATAATATAATGGAAGGTTGACATAATGCAATAGCATTGTGGGTTAATGTCATAAAGAGTTGACATAATGTAATGGAAGGTTGACATAATGCAATAGCATTGTGGGTTAATGTCATAAAGAGTTGACATAATGTAATGGAAGGTTGACATAATGCAATAGCATTGTGGGTTAATGTCATAAAGAGTTGACATAATATAATGGAAGGTTGACATAATGCAATGGCATTGTGGGTTAATGTCATAAAGAGTTGACATAATGTAATGGAAGGTTGACATAATGCAATAGCATTGTGGGTTAATGTCATAAAGAGTTGACATAATGTAATGGAAGGTTGACATAATGCAATAGCATTGTGGGTTAATGTCATAAAGAGTTGACATAATGCAATGAAAGGTTGACATAATGCAATAGCATTGTGGGTTAATGTCATAAAGAGTTGACATAATGTAATGTAAGGTTGACACAATGCAATAGTAGTGTGAGTAAATGTCATAAAGTGTTGACATAATGTAATGGAAGGTTGACGCAATGCAACTGTTGTGTTCTGTTATAAGACAGTGACGGCGTTCCATAGTCATTACTACTAATTTTTATTTATAGATAAAATTTTGTTTTATTTTTGTTGCTTTATTTAGCATTTGTATTATCTCAAAAGCAGTTGAGAGTAAGAACTATATTTTTGCACGTGACTTTAAAATGGCGACTGTGGGGTTGACTTCCTGCCTTGAACAGGATGACATAAGGCGGAAATTGCTCTTTGAGCAATAAGCCCGGCTAAAAACACTCCTACCAGTAAAGTAGCACAATTAGTGCCCATTGAAATTCAAACAGTCTGTTGGAAGCCTTGGTCACCGAGGATAACATAAATGTTCATTAATGATAAAAATGATAAAATCTAGCATTCTTTTAATTTAAACTACTGATTACTTGTAAAGAATCATCTTTTTGTCAGAAATGGCCTAATCTCGACAATAGTATTGGTAAATAATGATATTCTTTTGCAAAATGAGCATGGTGACCATCAAAACCCAAGTCCTCTATCTTTTGAGCGTCGTTTATTTCATGTGGATAAAGTATGGATGCCTTCACTTTATCATATCTGATATGTTTAATTCTAAAGTAAACGATATTTAGGGATTTGATAATTATATTATTGTAAAGATATTCATTTTTTTTCTAACTGTAAGTTGGCGATCTTTCATATCAAATTGCTTAACAAAAGACACGTCTCTCTCCCAGTTTGCTTTCACTTGGCAACAGAACAAACATGATTTTAAAACATCTCCCTACCTTCACTTAAACAATCAATCCAATTAATGACACAACTTCTAGCAAGGTTTTTGTCTTCGTAAACCGTATACAAATTATTATAAACTTCTTCAAAGGAATTTTTAAGATATACATTTAACTTCGCAGCAATTTGTGTCTCGAATACGACTGAGTCAACCATTTTTTGTCAAGAGTGACCTACCTTATGACGTCATTTTTACATTGTGACGTCACAAACACTGGGAAAAACATTTCATTACATCTGCTATTTATAGAATATATGTATGACTTAATGTGTGCCAAATTTCATTCTAATCTGAATTGTGGTTTTGTAAATATAGAGATAGTTCGCAAACTTTTTGATCACCCTTCGTATTTATCCAATGTAAACCAAAACAAGACACTGGCCTTGTTAACATAACAAAGGTTAGAACCTCTAAATCTATCTTGTATCTCAACAACTAAAATTCAAAGAAGAAGGTATGGTTTTAGCTTTATTGCGCCCTAAAAATGAAATGACATTAAAAAGTTTTGAAACTGGCTGAAATATTAGTTAAATAAATGACTCTGATAAATCATGAAAGAATATGGCATGAAGGTTTACCATTCTGCAAATATAATGTCATTAATGTGAAGCATTTCTCTATTTTCAACAGAAAAAGCCTCAAAATGTCACATTTCAAGGGTGATTTTCCTTTAGAAAACAGTGTCCACAGCCGTCGCCCACGTTAATTTTTTTTATATTTTGTGCAAAATTCAATAACAAATAACATATCTCAAGATCTTTGTGGGCGATGCCTGTGGACAATGTTATCTGAAAGAAAATTCCATCGAAAATTGGTGTCTTCTGCAACTTTTTAAGAAAATTCGGGAAAATGCTCATGTTTATGACGTCATAATCAACATTTAAAAAAACATGTGAGAGAAATGACTTGTATGATTTTTCTGCATTGAATTTCAATTATTTAAAAAGCATTAGTTTTCAACTTTTACACCAGTTTCATTTTTTAGAAAATCACAGGGCAAAATTTGTATGGAAACCATACCTTCTTCTTTTTGATGATCTTTAAAAATACCTTAGTTAAGTATTTTTGAACATAAAAAAAATAGAAAAATAAATTCGTAAACAATTTAGTTGAAACTGTGTCCACGTCCTTTACATGTAATGATGTTTATTTCATTAGACGGAAGTGTTTTAGAAAGAGTTTCTACATCTAATATAAACTTGTGATTAATGTCCGCCTTGTTTTCTTCATTTTAAACATATTAAACAATTATATTTAATACTTTTGAAAGTTTGCATTAGTATTTTTCAGACAGCTTTTAGATCAATTATGCCAAGAACTGATTTTTTACGAGCTTTCTTATAATTATTTTTAGCTCACCTGAGCCGAAGGCTCAAGTGAGCTTTTCTGATCAAAATTTGTCCGTTGTCTGTCGTTGTTGTTGTCGTTGTCGTCGTGAACTTTTCACATTTTCATCTTCTTCTCAAGAACCACTGGGTCAATTTTCACCAAACTTGGCACAAAGCATCCTTGGGTGAAGGGGATTCAAGTTTGTTCAAATGAAGGGCCAAGCCCTTTTCCAAGGGGAGATAATTATGAATTACTGAAAAATTAATGGCATCTTTTAAAAATCTTCTTTTCAAGAACCACTGAGCCGGGAAAGATGAAATTCATGTGGAAGCATCCTCAGGTAGTGTAGATTCAAGTTTGTACAAATCATGACCCCGGGGATAGTGCGGGGCCACAATGGCTGATCAAAGTTTTACATAGGAACATATAGGAAAAATCTTCAAAAATCTTCTTCTCAAAAACCACTGGGCCATGAAAAATGAAACTCATGTAGAAGCAACTTCACATAATATAAATGCAAGTTTGTTCAAATCATTACCCCCGGGGATAGGGCGGGGCCACAATGGCTGATCAAAGTTTTACATAGAAATATATAGGAAAAAAAATCTTTAAAAATCTTTCTTCAAAACCATGGGGCCAGTAAAAATGAATAATCTGTGAAAGCATCCACAGGTAGTGTAGATTCTTGTTTGTTCAAATCGTGACCCCAGAGGATAGGGAGGGGCCACAATGGCTAATCAAACTTTTACATAGGAATACATAGGAAAAATCTTTTAAAAGTCTTTTCAAGATTAGCAAAGCTATGATTGTTGATATTAATATGGATACAACCACAGTTAGAGTTTATTCAAGTTTTTTTTTTATATAATTACCAGGAGGACAAGGTGGGGCAGTGATGAGCAATCAAATCCTTACATAGAAATATATATTAAGAAAAATCTTCAAAACTCTTCTTTTCAAGTATTGCGAAATTATACATGTATGCTTTATTGATATAGTGACATTCTCAAGTAATAAAAAATTCAAATCCCCCCTCCCCCAACAAGTAAACTTTTCAATACTAAGCTGAACTAGCCCATGTGCTCAGGTGAGCGATGTGGCCCATGGGCCTCTTGTACTATTTTACATTTTCTCCTTCTTCTCTGATTTTTTTTTGTTTGTAATTAACTTTACATACGATGTTTTCTAGTATCTGAGCCATACTCGTATGCATTTTTTATGATCTAATGATATAAAAATTTGGGTTTATTTCTAATCACCAGGATTTCCTTGCCCACATAAGGAAATTTCCCTGTATATAAAAAAAATTGAGAATTTATACTATTATGTAATATAGAATTTAAACTGTTTTTTTTTTCTTTTTTTTCTTCATAATCTCTACTTCATCAAATCTTAAGCTGCACATATGGGGCAAAGATATTGATTGTAATAAATGTTTATACTAGTTTACGTACTAGGTGTTTATAGTACATGTAATATACACATCATATGCATTTAATACAAGCATTATACTGATTTGTAAAAACCCAAGGTCTGTTTCAGTTAGTCACTATTATTTGATCGGCATTTTTGCTCCAAAATCTAATATCAACTTATTCTGTATCCAAAAAAAAAAAAAAAAAAAAAAAAAAATTTACAAATCATGTTTTTTTAAAAACAATTCTGAGATGAGTTTCTGATTGGATTGTAATTTTATTTCTTTGTTTAAGTAAATTAGTATGATCTATCATGTAAAATTATATTTGATTAAATTGGTCAATTTTTCCCCCAAAATAGTGAAATAGCGTTATTTATAGAAAATTTAACACGTGTTCCGTTGTTTGATAACTTTTTTTGCATAATATCCTTAGCTCGATTTTCTTTTATTAGACAATCAGTCACCAAAAGTAGATATATACAGCTGTGATAATATCCCAATGATATGCCACTGAATTACTTTGTATAATGAAATAATTATTGGCAGAAAAAGAACATTCATTTTTCGACAAATACTTTTTTTATTGACCAGCAGTAAAAAAACAACAAACCAAGAAAATAAATGGCATAGATGGCTTTTATACACTTTTATTGTTAAAAACAATGAGTGATACGAAATTAAGCTGTGGAATATTTTAAATCTTGCATTTATGCAAGCAACGACTCATCTTTAAGTTAAAAGAGTATTTTATCAAAGAAAATTGAAGGAAAATGTATGTTTCAATAATTATAATAAAACTTTTAAAAATTGTGGCATTCTAGTTCTTGATCAAGTATCCTCAGTTTCTTTGATAAACTAAAAACTTTGCTAAGTGAAACGACGATCTTTAATTTAATGATTAGTCTTGGTGCTTGACGATAGGATCATAAGCTAATGGTGTTTTCATATTTTTTTAAGTTCAGACAGAGTAAAAGTTTTTATTGTTATATGTATACTAGAGAACCCCCTTTTCTTGTCAACACATTTTAGTTATATATCCTCATCTTTATATATATATATATATTGAATTCATCCTGTGAAATAAAAGAATTGTGGCAAAGTATAGGTTAGTTCTTAATTATTTTGATTTAATTACATGTATGTACACTTAAAGATGGCAATGATCTTTTGTTTTCATTTGCCAGCAATATTTACACGATATTTAGATTTTCATTATAAAGTGCATAAAACGGTTTTTCATTGAAGATAATTAAGATATGATTCATTGTTACTGTCATAAAATCGAACACGTCTTTGTCTTTTAGTAACAGAGAAAACATGGACCTCCAAAACGTCAGAGGTATAATAAAGCAAATATTGTCTGAAGATGATATTTATTTCAAGATTTAGACCTGAGAAATCATCAGTATAAAATTTACTGAGTTTTCAGATAAGTAATTATAATAATTTATAATAATCATATCAACAAGTTGAATAAACAAAACAAACAAAAAAATATCAGTATATATTCATACAGAGCATGCTTTTCTTATTTAAACATGATAAACAAAATGCGTTTTTGAAACACTGATACCCCTGCATGTCAGCTTATAGTGAGCATTGAAATTTCCTTCTCAAACGCAAGTCAAATTCTAAAGTCAGAGTCAAAAGGTCAAAATTGCTGCGGGTATGCAAACGGTCTTGTAATAAGGAATAAATTTCTGAAAGATCTAGTTTTTAACTGTTCAAAAGTTATGGCCAAGTTGAAGATTTTTTGAAAGTAAGCACACTGTAACACTCTTTGAGGTCAACGTCGAAAGGTCCAAAACATTTATACGCATTAAAGGGTTTGTCAAAATAAATACACATGTAAGGTTTGGAAGTCCTAGTACCAAAATTATGGCCAAGGTGTAAGTTAGGTAATTTTGTGTAAAAGTGGGTTAAAAGTCTAAGCCCAAGAGGTCAAATTTGGTCAAGAATGGCCCTGTCAAAAAGAATGCACCTCTGAAATACGAAAGCCATAGCCTCATCCACTTAAAAGTTATGGGCAAGGTTCTTACGGACAAACAGACAAAACAGACGGATGGATGGACAGGACAAAAGTGATATACCCCGAATCTTCAATGATGGATTCATAAAATGTAAATTTTAAGACTTAATAAAGATGGTATGTTTTTCTGATTAGATGATATAAATTGGTCGCTGTGAAGAGATTTTGTATAGATTCACACCTCCATCCTTCATTTCAAACTCCATAAATACTGCCAGGAACATTGTCATACAGAAAATGGATAATTGTAGATTCAGTGTGATATCAACTAGTTTTCTGTAAAATTCACATAAAAAGTATTTTAAAAAATATTACTCAACACTATAACTCTGTTTTCAACTTAAACATGTTTAAGTAATTAATCATTTATCTATATGAATGTAATTGCTACATGTAGAAAAGATGAATTTCTGGTTTGAAATGCAATTAGTAGCTGCCATATTACATGTAGTTTTAAGATTAACAAAATACCTGTTAATGAGAAATATTCAAGGATTGATCCTAACACCATGACAATAATCAGATGGTAAATGTCAAGGGTAACATATTTTTCTGAAGCAGTCCTGATCACTATATTGGAAGAAAAACAAGTATATTCTGACAAAACGTCAAAGATACTCAAGCTGTAGAAAGTCAACTAGGAGGTGTCATTAAATAATAGCGAGCGCAGCGAGCGTCGCGAAGCGATGCTCGCAAAGCGAGCTCAATAGACTAACGTGTATGAACAGAGGAAATTCGGATTAAAATCTGTACATACGTCAGCCAAATTTCTCTGTGCAACATTCCCAGAATTCCCGCACTACCCAATGTCCTTTGCGCGAATAAATCAAAAATAGTAAAAAAATTAAAGGAACATTGTTTCTTACCGAAATCTTAACGAAATGATTTTGCCTTACCTTATTCAAAAAAATACCCCCATGCCACAACACCGGCCTTCACCTTGCCCTTCGGAAATGATACAAATGACGTCACCGGAAACTTACGAATTTTGACGAAGTTATGTCGGTTGCTTCCGTGAAACTCGGAAAACATGTTGCGGTGCATAGCAACATGGTGGCTAAAACACAGCAACAACTTACTTGAAAAGAACGATTTAATGCAATCTCTTTTCCATAAACTAGCGTTTGCGTCCTAAGTCAACAGAACTTTTTTTCTGAAGTCATACTTTCGTCTTCAACGGTTCGGGTATTTCCGATTTTGTCGGAAACTTCCGACAAGTTTGGAATCTCGATCCCGATGCTTGGGAAATGATTTCTTTTTATTGTTTTGTTTTATTCTTTTTGCTTTCTTTTTCTTGAATGATAGACAGTACATATGTAGGTTTATGATAGTAAATAAACTGCGCTCGCCCCAACGGTCACACCGTAAAACATATTATCCAAAATGGTATAAGATGAGTGTGGCGGAGTCATATTTATTTAAAATAAATTTTTTATCTTTATTGAATAACTTACTGAGCCATAATTTACTATATGCCATATTTGGTAGTAGTCTCCATTCATGAATTCTACTCACAGAATCTCATTGGCCAGTAAATTTGTACCCCCTTGTTTAACCGGTTTCTCTGCTATATATACTGAGGCATGGGCCCATCCCTGTCAGTGCGGGAAATTTAACTTACATATTACCAGCTGCCCGTTGTCACCACTTGAAAGATCTGCCATTGCTTTTTCATTCCTAATAAATTTATTAAACTGAACCTGCGTTCTTCATCCCCGCTTGGTTACATTTGGCGTCGCCGGGAACTAAAGCAATGGCTAGTGGTGACAACGGAGAATTTCATGTAAAATTCCAACGACGTGAGTAGAACTTCAAATTCCATTACATCAATGAAACATCGTGGGAAAGGAATGTTTATTCGAGCGTAAACTACCCGTACTGATAGTGAATACCATTCTCGGCTGTTACAATGGCGAGTCATCCAACTGTAAAATCGTTACAGAAAGAAATCAAAGGTCTGCAGAATCAACTTAGCGAAATGGGTTGGAAATCAAATTACGAACCAAAAGAACCAAAAACTGTTTATGTGCAGCGAAATCGCACTGATCCAAAATTCACCGGCAATAACATTGATATAGAGGACTGGATAGAAAATGTTCAATATGCAGCACGTGGTATGACAAAGGAAGAAGGGGCGGATCTAATTTACCAAAATCTATCTGGAAATGCGCGAGACGAAATCAAGTATTTGTCAGGTGATGTACGAAAAGATCCTCTACATATGGTTAAAATTTTGCGGGATGTATTCGGTGATAGAGACAGTGCTATTAAATTACAGAAGAAATTTCTTGACAGAAAACAGAATGAAACTGAAACACTGCGTCAATATTCTTACGGTCTGATGGATATCATTAGAAGAATTACTCGGAAAGACTCGTCAGTTTTCGGAAACCAAGATAAAACATTGTGTGAACATTTTTCAGAAAATGTCAGGGACCAGTATCTACGGAAACATCTAAAACGTATTCTGCGCACGCAACCGGATATCACGTTTAGGGAACTTAGAGAAGAGGCTATACTCTGGTCAGAAGAAGATGAACATGGCGAAGTCTCGTTACAAGAATCACTGGAGAAGAAATCAACTGAACAAAACCGCAAGTCTGAGAGTGAAAAGAAAACTGAAGTATCGACAGAAAAAATACCGAAGCAAACGGAAAGTGAAAGTGAAAAGAAAATCAAAGAACTTACCGACGCATTGAAGAAACAATCGTGTCAGATAGAAAATTTAACAAAAGCTGTCAATTCCAAACAAAAATACTACGACAACAACTGGTATTATTATGATCGACCACTTACCATGCTGACATGTTACCGATGCAAAAAGCAGGGACACAAAGCTAATGAATGCCCAACAAAACCGGATTCTACAAATTCTGAACAGGAAAACAAAAGCCCTTCGTAATGCAGAGTCCCGTTATAGAGGGGAGTGAAACGGACTCATGGAAAATGAACACACGTTTAGTTGGTAAATGTCCTTCAGTATTTGTGACAATGAATGGTGTTAATGTTAATTGTTTAGTTGATACTGGATCATCAGTTTCTACAGTGACAGAATCATTTTATGAGAAACATCTGAAGTCAGCAACCAAATTAAATACAGACATTGTGTTTTCTTTGAAAGCATCTAACGGACTTTCCATACCGTTTATTGGATACATCGTGGTCAACATTGAGGTCATGGGTCAACAGTTACAGCAAGTGGGTGTGTTAGTTGTGAAAAATTCCGTTGATTTAGAAACACGTCAGCGTAAGGAAAACATTCCGGCCATTCTGGGAATGAACACGATTTCACTGTGTAAGAGTCTATTAGAAACGCAACACGGAGCAGAGTACACAGAAAAAGTTGAAGAAATTTCAGCAGATTACAAATTAAAAGAACAATTCAAAGCATGTGACAGAAATAGTAAACGTGATGTCATAGGATATGTTAAAGTCTGTGCAAAGTCTCCAGTACGCATTCCGGGAAAATCTGTGACTGTTATCAATGGTACAGCACCAAAGATGCCAAGACTGTATGAAGCCATGGTAGAACCGTTAACATCTACTCAACATTTGTCATCAAACATTATCGTTGTCCGGACTCTTAGTAAAGTGAACCGTGGATTTCTGTGCTTTCGTATCGCAAATATTGGTACTGACGATGTGTGGTTAGCACCCAGAACAAGAGTTGCCGTCCTTGTCAATGGCGATGTACTTGAAAATCCATCTAACATCGAATTCACTAGAAAAGGAAATACTGAAGAGATTTTTGTTCAACAAGAATTTATGTGCAGGGAAACCACAAATTCAGAGGAAGTGACAAGTGATTTCAAAATTCCACCGGAAATAGAAAAGTTGAATTTAGATCCTGCACAGATGAAAGAAATTCGCACTCTTTTCTACCGAAATCAAGATGTATTCTCTCAAAATGATGACGATATAGGATATACTACAGCCATAAAACATACTATTCGGACAACAGACGATCAGCCTATAGTGCAACCTTACAGACGAATACCCCCATCACAATATGAGGAAGTGAAATCACATATTCGTAAATTGTTGAACAACAATATTATAAGGGAGAGTACTAGTCCATACGCATCACCGATTGTGTTAGTCAGAAAGAAAGATAATTCGCTCCGCTTATGTGTGGACTACCGTAAACTTAACAGCAAAACTCACAAAGATGCCTATCCACTACCCAGAGTAGAAGAATCATTTGATGCTCTATGCGGTGCGAAATTTTTCTCGACAATGGATCTTACCTGTGGCTATAACCAAGTAGCTGTACATGAAGATGATGTCGAAAAAACGGCATTCACAACGCCAATGGGTCTGTATGAATATCTTCGTATGCCGTTTGGTTTGTGCAACGCCCCTGCGACGTTTCAGAGGTTAATGCAACACTGCTTCAGGGATGAGATATTTAACATTTTACTTGTGTTTTTGGACGATATTATCGTCTATTCAGAAGACATTCCAGAACATTTGAAGCGATTAGAGACAGTGTTTAGAATCATCCGGAAACATGGATTAAAGTTGAAAATGTCAAAGTGCAATTTTTTTCAAAGTGAAGTTCGTTATCTCGGACATGTCATATCCTCCGAGGGAATCAAAACTGACCCAGAAAAAATAAGTGCTGTGCAAAATTTTGAAAAACCGACAACTGTGAAAAAACTCAAGTCATTTCTTGGATTAGCAGGATACTATAGACGTTTTGTGAAAGGATTTAGTAATATAGCATCGCCATTACACAAGTTGTCCCAGCAGTTTACACCTTATCCAAGGAAACCGTTTGGAAATAAATGGAATTCTCAGTGTGACGATGCGTTTACTACATTGAAAAAGCTTCTTGTGAGTTCTCCTATCTTAGGATATGCAGATTTCCAAAAGCCGTTTATTCTTGAAACAGACGCTAGTATGTTAGGATTAGGAGCAATTCTATCGCAAGTCAAAGACGGAAAACAACATGTCATCGCCTATGCTAGCAGATCCTTGAGTTCAAGTGAAAGGAATATGCAAAATTATAGTTCTCGAAAACTGGAATTACTATCATTAACCTGGGCAATAACAGAAAAGTTCAAAGATTACTTATTGGGATCAAAATTCACAGTGTTCACTGATAACAACCCGTTGTGTCATCTTAACACACCAAAACTCAGTGCAATTGAACAACGCTGGATTTCAAAATTGGCTATGTTTAACTTTGATGTGAAATTCCGACCAGGCCGCCATAACGAAAACGCAGATGCTCTTTCACGTATCAGTGATCCTGATGATTCATCGCGGCAAAGTGATTTAGAGATTCTACTAGAGAAGTTCTCAGATTCTACGAAACTACCCTCGGATCTACAAAAACAAAGTATTTCAAGTGTAATTGTGAATGAAGTTTACGACACTTTTCCATCTCTTAAACCAGATGAAATACAGTCTCTTCAGTCAGCTGATTCAGACTTGGCAACATTTCTGAAGATTTTCAATAAAGGATCTAAACCAACAAAAACAGTAATCAGAAAATTACCAAGATCTGTGATTACATTAGTAAGACAGTGGGATAAAATTGTAATTGTGAAAGGAATTCTTTACAGAGTGGTAACAGATCCGATACTAGGGGATTTAAAACAACTTATTCTTCCAAGATCATTACGTGAAAAAGTGTTATTCAGTTGTCATGACAACTTGGGCCATCAAGGGATAGAGCGCACATTTTCTGCTGTTCGTTCAAGATGTTATTGGCCTGGAATATTCAATTCTGTGAAGGATTATTGTAAGCGCTGTGAACGTTGTGTAATTTCCAAGATGCCTCAACCAGCTATACGCACTACAATGAGCCACCTCATCGCATCTAGACCACTGCAAATTCTAGCAATCGATTTTACTGTTTTGGAACCAGCGCATGGAAAAGAAAACGTTCTTGTGATGACTGATGTCTTTACAAAATTTACGCAAGCTGTTCCAACAAAGGACCAGAAGGCAGATACGGTTGCGAATGTTCTTTTAAACGAATGGTTCTTCAAGTATGGTGTTCCCGATCGTATTCATTCGGATCAAGGCCGAAATTTTGAAGCAAATATCATTGCTCAACTGTGTAGGATGTATGGAATTACACGATCTCGAACCACACCTTACCACCCAGAAGGAAACGCCCAGTGCGAAAGATTTAATAGAACCCTACACAACTTATTAAAGAGTCTTATACCTGACCGAAAGCGACATTGGCCAAAACATCTGCCCGAATTACTATTTTCCTACAACGCAACACAGAATTCAACAACCGGATACAGCCCATTTTATCTTATGTTTGGACGTCATCCCAAGATACCCATCGATTTTCTACTTGGAGCTTTGGACAGTGACGATGATGATCAGATGACGACTGACGAATGGATCAAATCTCACCAGGACCGACTAAAGTACGCGTTCAACAAAGCAAGTGATCATACGTCTCTGATGGCCAAAAACAGGAAGTTGACCAACGACAGAAAAGCCTTTGACCCGGAATTGAATACTGATGACAAAGTGTACGTTCGAAACCGTCAAATCCGCGGCAGAAACAAAATTCAAGATTCATGGGACTCTACTGTGTATCGTGTTGTGAATATTTCAGGAAATGTCGTTAGTGTTGTGTCAGACGATGGCAGCCGGAAAATCTTAAACCGCCGTGATGTGACGAGATGTGTTTCCTAAATAACGCTATTACTTATGCAAAAACTTTTTGTTACTTTTGATGTTCATATGTATATTTTTCTGGAGAGTATGTGGCTATTATTGAAAAATGTATTTTGATAGAATATATATTTTTCATTTATCGAGACGCTAAATTTAAAGCTGGGGAGTATGTGGCGGAGTCATATTTATTTAAAATAAATTTTTTATCTTTATTGAATAACTTACTGAGCCATAATTTACTATATGCCATATTTGGTAGTAGTCTCCATTCATGAATTCTACTCACAGAATCTCATTGGCCAGTAAATTTGTACCCCCTTGTTTAACCGGTTTCTCTGCCATATATACTGAGGCATGGGCCCATCCCTGTCAGTGCGGGAAATTTAACTTACATATTACCAGCTGCCCGTTGTCACCACTTGAAAGGTAATTTTCTTAGTCTATTAAATTTTTGTATTTTATTTATTAAGTCCAAGTCATAAGCTCAAGTGTTTTTCATATTTTTGAGAGAAAGATATTCTAAACTATGAAATTGACGTTTTTTGGCTTAGTGAACTTAAATTTTCTTATTTTTGAAGTGAATATGAAATAAAAGTATTTTGTCTCAGTGTCTATGTGTATTATGATATTGTATATATGTTTTTGTATTTGAAAGATCTGCCATTGCTTTTTCATTCCTAATAAATTTATTAAACTGAACCTGCGTTCTTCATCCCCGCTTGGTTACATGAGGGCTATTGAGTTCAATCTTCTGTTGAATAAAATACATGTACATGAAACAAAATTCATATATTGAATTTAATTAGATTAGAATAAATATATATAATTGTACTACTTTTTAAGATGAATTCACGTTACTCACTTTGAGGAATATTTTATAGAGCATAGTGGCCGTTTCTAAACGTAATGAAATATTTTTTTTATGTTGATATCCTTCAAACTATACGAGTATATACGTTTTTTTTTTACTTTTGCTTAGTGAAGTACATCAATCACAATTTAATATACACAAATCCAAATAGCTTGTTACAAGCATACAGGTAGAAACTTTTTCAAAGTGGATGGGAGGGGGGGGGGGCTCCAAAAAATCCACGTGACTACGGGTTCATCTGGCTGTGCGGCATGTCTAAAACATATTCCGTACGAATCCAAAAGAAGTTATATAGGTTCCGTTTCAAAAGCTGAAGATAACTAGTACGATTTTTTGAAATTAAAAAAAAAACGTACAAGAGAGAATTTAACATTAATGTTGTGCTATTATTTTACTGTCACTCAAAGTGCACATGCACATTATTCTCAGGCCTGTGAGAAGCAATTTCAATATGGGGGGGGGGGGGAGCAACCATACATTTTCTGGCCATGCATAGTAGAATTTGTTAACGATGGGGTTACCTGCGTCACCTTTCATAGTAAAAAGTGAACTCGTCCAAAGATGCTTTGTCGGCGTCTGTAAAAGTTACCTGAGATTCCTTTGCAAAGGAAAGCGCGAAATATTCTGTATAGAAACTGTTGCGGCTGCGGAGCTTCACTCATTGTTCATCCGCCATAGAAAAGAATCCGACATTTATCGCACATTATCTTTGAACATACAGACTTTTTCAAGATAAGCTTCATTTTCGTTTCTAGAAATATTTTTATCTACAAAAATAATATCTTTTCGTATATTTTAACTGAGTAAATTGATGACCTAGAAACCTCTAGGGCTTGAGTAAATATCCCTTTTAAGAAATGTCCTCTCAATGGCTCATTTTACATAAAACTTTTTTGACATTTTCATACGAACATGGACAGACCTGTGTCTCCGTGACTTGTTTCTTTTCTTTTTGTTCAAAAATACAACGTCCAATTATGCAACTTTGAAGTGACCCTGAAATGGAATCATTAAATACAGACAGATAAATCTATAGGTCTTATTATTGTAAATACTAGTATATCAAATGGAAAAGTAAGATATTTAAGGATGCTTTAAGATTTCTGACATTTTGATTTCAGATTTATTTTTATTTTGCGAAATATTTTTCATTGTTTTAAAACCAATATTCAATTTTGGTTTCGAGTTTACACAAAGGTCACAAGAGGGTGCGGAAGAAAGTCATTTTTCGAATTTCTTCAATTAAGCTGTAATTCCATGAGAAAATTTGGAAATTGACACATTTACTGACCTTTCTGTGACCTCTGTGTATCCCCTAACATAGAGAACATATTCTCAATTTGTGGTAGGAAAAAGAACTTGTTTTTATTTATAAACTGGTGCATCATTTTAAAAGACATCCGAAATCAGGGGTAGCGTAGGGATCTTAGTCTCTCTTGTCCTTTATTACTTTTTGTTATGCAAAAATTTTAGAAACTTACCTAATATGTTTTGATCAATTTTGCAATCAATATTGATATCTTTGGCTGAATAAGAACATTTTGAGTTCTTCTTATGTTCCAGTTTCAACACGATATCAGCATGGTATTTGATTTGTACTCTCACATAATTGTCCTCTGCTGCAGAATTTATAATTGAACATTCCGGGGAACATGTCTCCAGATTGCTTAAGGAAGCATTTACTGTATACAAGAAAAATCATGAGAAAATATCCCTGAAAATATCCATATATTTTTTAAACGCGGTCATTACTTTTTCGAATTAATAACAATATAATGAACAATTATAAAGATTTTGTGTCAACCACTACATGTAATTTACCTGAAGAAATGGACAAACAAGTCGAATTATTTATTAATTTATGGTAAAGGTCTGTTGCTTTGCGGATACAATCCCTAAAATACAAAAAAAAATGCAATAATAAAAATGTTTATTTTCAGGATAAGGAAAATCAAATATCAATAAAAAGTGTACATTCATTGCTTATTTAACTTATGATAACACATACATGTATCATGTATTCTAACGAAACTTATTACATTCTTCTCCTCTTGTTTCATCGTTTAAATATCAATTGCAACCACCACCTGCATCAACCAAACAAAAATACCAACATAACAATATGAAGTCAATACCCTTATATATATAGTTTCGTTCCCTCCGACCTCTTTTAATGCAACGTTGCAATAAAGTCATAAATTTTACTACAGAAACTTCCCAAAATTTGTAAAAAAAAAAAAAAAATTAAGGTAGAATATACAAATTAATTGATATGCTGTACGGTAAACGGAATGTTGATTACTGTCTGAAAAGTAATGTCTAAGCTGAAAACGATTTGGAATAGGATTGTCCGCCAAAATCGTTTAGTCAATTGCTATATTTTAGGATTACTATATAAACCGCCCAATTAACCAATATTCAGTTGTCACCAGTGAAGACGGAGGGGTGTTACAAAGCATTCGGTAGCGACAATAAAAAGCTATGTACTCCTAATGAAGGGAAAAAAAACAGATTACGACAGTTGCACAGTTCAGTGAAGCCAACACAAAAAAAAATACTTTAGTTAACTATAGTTTACTATAGATATCTATATAATTAACTACAGTTAATCAAAGTGTCAAAGTTATCACTACAGTAAATAAAAGGTTTCAAAGTGTTTAATATAGTGTCAAAGTGTTTACTTTGAGTGTCAAAGGGATCACTATAGTAAATCAAAGTTTTCAAAGTGATGAATATAGTGTCATAGTTATCACTAAAGTAAATCAAAGTTTCTCAAAGTTAACACTAAAGTGAATCAAAGTTTTTTCATCAGCAATCTTATACATTACTCGGAAACAGGAAAATCATTTTTCCTTTCTTATCGATTTCCTGACACTAGTTTCTGTTTAAAAATATATTCTTGAATTTTACTTTATTGTCGCATCAGTCATGATAACGAATGTTTTAAAGCCATATATGGCGTAACTGATCAAAAAATATACTTTTGAAAAATACAAAATTAAGTAAAGAAATATAGTTGATACATTTAAATTAAAGCTTTTCATACAATTCTGAACACGGAGAACACCTCGTTTCATCTAATAATACGATTTTATCTTCTCTGTAATGTGTTATTTAAATCTTTTGTATTTTCTTCCGAGTTGGAGAAAATTCCGAGAATCCAAATTAAATTGTGATATCTTTATAACGCAATTGATTTAGATTTTGTAATTTACGGAAAAGTTCTATCTTTATATAAAGTAATGATACAAATAATAAGTTCTTATTATTTTAGTCCAATTATTTTCATTGTACATACGCCATATATGGCTTTAATAAAGTCGTTATATTTGTATAAAATGAAACTTTAACAAGGATTTAAAAAATATCTTTTTCCAATACAAAATAGAACGAATACAAAATGGTTCCTTATTTTCTATGAAATTAATATAGAATTTCAATATTCAATCTACATGTTGCTTGTGCAACACTGGCTTTTTTCATCATCTTCTTATATTTTTTCTTTTTAATAAACATTAAATTAAATACTTACGTTTCTCCATTGCAGCCTTTATGATAGAGCAGAACATACACATATAAGGCGGAAATGAACTTCAACACGGCTAAAAAGACACAATTGATAAAAAAAAGACTACATGTTTACTGGAAATATATACAAGAAAAATATCCTTTTATCTCTTTTACTTCCGTTCTATAAACTACATGTCAAAGTTTGTCATGAACGATTTAACTCTAAATTAATGAATTATTTAACTTACTGCTTTTTATCATCCTCTTTATAGATCAGTAGGAGGGAAAATGTATTGATGTATGCATTAGAATTGTTGTTGTTGTTGTTGTGAAAAGGAAGAAAGTTTAAACTATAGATATAATAAAGTGTAGTATTATTGTTCATTCGTGTGGTTTTATAAAAAAATATCCGTGAATTTTTTTAAAATCCGGGAAAATCAATTTTAACACCAGTTCACATAAAAGATATGATATTTGAAATTTTTCAAAAAAGCGTTTTATATTCATTAAAAGTACGAAAAATACGGTTTTGAACACAGAGAATTCTTATGTTTAATATTCAAAAGATATGGCTCGTTGATAAATTCTTTCTCCTGAATAAATAAACAAATTTAATGAGGTTAAAACATCGAAAATTAATCAATGAAAATATATTTGAAGGGATAGTGAGGTGTTAAACGGAGTAAATACAGTTTGTTTCACAATATACATGTTTGTCAAATATCTAAAGGCATATAGAAAAATGACAACAAAAGCTAGATATACAATTTTTAAAAATATCATTTCATTCATCTGATATTCAAAATTATTGTTTTAAGTCAGACGTATCCAACATTCTCTATTTCAGTTACTATGGCAACAAATCCTAAAATGTTATTCTTTAATTGTTTTCCAAACATTGTCCTAAATAACTTAAGAGACTCATGTTCGGAAATTTCTGACCACTGTTTTGTAAATTTTACAGGATACTTGAGAGATTTCTTGCTTTTTTTTTTAAAATTTAAATTTGTAGTTAAATACCACCGGTATATGTTGCTGACCACTTCTTTCGCTCTTCCTTTCAATCAATCTTGCAAACTTTTACCGACTCTGAACGTCAATTGACTTTGAATGCTGAAATCCTGTATGCAGACGCAGTCAATTCAAATTTCAGATTTCTAAATACACATGATGCACTTACAAGCATTGTTACTAGCTATTTCCTTATTTTTGGTATCATGCTTGATATTCAGATTATGCTAATTTAGATGTATTTATCATATATTATACCCTGTAAATACATGCAGATAAAAAATAATTTTACATGTAAAATAAAAAAAACTTAAGGACAGATGATAACAAATGAATGATTCAGAAACATATTTATGTTCTCCAGTGTAATAACAAATGAATGATTCAGAAACATATGAAAATAACAGTAGTCAAGATCAAAAGTACAAAAGCAAAACAAAATAGGAGCAGAGCAAACACGGACCCCCAGCTTTAGAAAAAATGATAAATTCTTTGAATTTTTCTCCTTAGACATCTAAAATGGAATATCTGGAGATTCTCCTCCATGGTGCCTGATTCCACCTATGATGTTTTGATCTTGAATACTGTTCTTTTTCTCTATAATTTCCATTCCATATCCCCCAAACTACACAACGGGAGTTATCATGATAATATTGTTTAATCGCCATATAGGAACATTTTAGTTTATATTTTACTTTCATGTAAATTAGTTGAATCTGATTGTTCCAAAAACATTTATTAAAAAACACTATAACCCGCTGAATAATGAAGCCACGCCCTCCAGTGAAGCAACAGACAACATTGCTTGACGACGGATGATATTCCAAAAGATAGCGACTGCGCAGAATTTATGAGCGCAAGGTTCACTGTAATATGTATTTTGAATAAAACATTCACTATAATATAATAAATATAGCATGTAGTTAAGTGTAACATTAAAAATTTTCACCCCTCTAAAACCAAAATTAACGAATTTTCTTGTTTTTAAAAGTACTACAAAATATGAAATAGAATGAATTTATACAAAAAATTTATAAAAATGGAGGGAAGATTCTCAAATTTCTACGTTTTAAATTTCAGGAACATATATTCATTACTTTTTCTATTATAACATTTTTATTACCCCTTCTTTAAGAGCTCCACGTTATCATAACGTCGAAAAAACAATTTTATGACGCCAATCTACATAACAGTCGAAAAATCGTTATAAAAATCAGATAAATGAAATTGTAATTAAATTTTTCTATCTATAATTTCTGAATTTTATCAATTTATTTAATTAAGTGAAAAAATTGCTTATAAACAGTAAATAAGCTTCCTTTTTATCTATGATGCGCGAAATATTGCACAATGGAAACTACAGTCGGCCCCCTTAAGATTTTTTCATGTTGCTAACAAATATACCGTTCTAATTTCTTGGCTATAAATTTTATGATTGATTTCAATCCTTAGTCTCAACATACACATATGGTTTTGTAAATATTTACCTATATGTATGCAAAAAGTTTCAATACGAAAATAATATAATGTTGAACAACGAATTCAACTGCAAATCTCCATGTCGCTTCATTTATTTACAATTTCAAGATGGAATTCTCAGCCGTTAAAGAGTCCCAAACAGATTGCAATGAATGTTAAAAGTTTTTTATCCTATATCAAAATACTGTAGAAGTACTTTTTTCCGCGTGGTATTAATTTACGCTATGTACGCCGTCACAAATTTTCCGCGGAAATTTGTCCAAGCGTACTCAATATAAATGCAAGGCATATAGTGAAAGTCTGAGAAATCCGCGTAATTTTCAACCCGCGGATTAAACGGAAATTGAGATTCCGCGGAATTATGACCCCGTGGAAAGAAGTACGTCTACAGTAATTCAAACCACTTCTCGCAAAAAATACATACTGAGTAGATCTTCTTTCTTGCAAAATCATTGCATGACGCTAAAAATCAATTTACTTCCCTAACAATTTTTTTTTAAATTTTGCGAAGAGAATGCATATTTTAAAAGAAACTAAAACTTATCTGAAAATGACCAAATAGCCTTATATCTTTGATTCTAGTAGTAAGTTAACTATTTTAGACGATTACGTTTTCGAAATTTTCGAAATAAAAATAAATATCAGAATAGCTGTACTGTTGTCTCTCTTATAAATTTAATTTCCGTAACGGTAATTTAGGAAAGTTTTCCACTAAAGGTATAATTATTGTGGGAACGAAATGCTTCATACTTTTGTTTGATATCCTAAAACAAGCTTTGATTTTACCTATTGCCGAGAATTTTAAATTTTATTGCTTGGAAATTAACTTCCGTAACGATACCGATGTATTTTTATCAAAATTTTAATTTTATTTCAGATTCATGAATCATATTTTTGCACCTTATACTGAACATCAGATACAAAAAAAAAATGGACAAATTCAGTGTTATTTAAAAAATGATAACACACCCAGGAAAGGTAGATAGATTTATTAAGGCGACAACCAAATATTCTTCTTGCCTATATACAATATGGCGTCATGGTAAGCTATATGACGTAACTTTAGAGATAACGATTTCTTAAAATCAATATTTAAAGATTAATTTGAGGTCGTAGAAATGATTTGAAACATGCAGAAACTTAATTTAGACAGACTTTTGTGGGAATAAAGCTTATGAATAAGGTATGCTAATATATTTCTACAATTTCCTCGTACAAGCAGACAGGGGTTTACTTCCGATCAGCTTTTCATATATCACTCGTAACAAAAAGATGCAAAAGTTCAACACTAGGCCGCATACTTTGAAACTTAATTTTTGCTTCTATCGAATGTTCTCATTCTATTGTTTTGAAAAGTGCTGATAGAATCGTATGTTGAACGGGAATTGATTTTTTCGATCTTCGAAATTTATTGTAAGGTTTCATCCAAAAGTGTAGAATAATTATTTCGGTGATAGGATAGAAGGATTCTAGCAGCACTTTTCATGGTACAAAGATTATTTTACTTAACTATTTTTACAAATAGAAATTAATTCGCTCCCGGGGTAGTGTTAAACTCTTCACTTTTTCATTAAGGCATAGTTTTCTATTTACAGACTTAGTGTAGTGCTTCTTAATTATAGTATACGTCCAACTGAAACTATGCCTTTTCCAATATATAAGTGGTACATATAACAAAAGAAGTGTAGATTCACCGAATTCTGATCTGTGTGTTGCCTTCACATACCAGCGAAGATACACGTCACAGGCTCCAAAACAATTAAGAACTAAAGGTCCACATTTGATTTGCACAAAATCTTGGTGCATTTCTATGAACATACCATTGATATCTAATATAAAGTTTTGATTTTTTTCATTATTTTGCTTCATTTTATTTCCATGAAAAAAGGAAAGAATATATTTTCCCCATGTTTTGTTTTATTTTGCATAAAATGGAATATATGAGTCATCCTTGATAATTGTAACATTGAAGCAATTTTTCCAAAACTTTTTGTGAGTCTCGATATTTTAAAATGCTTTTATGGAATATTTTAGTTTCAAAGAAAACATTAAAAAAAAAGGAAGGAAGACCCAGAAACCATTAAAAAGTTGTCACGTTCACCATAGTTTTAGTCTTTTGTTAGAAAAAATCCTGTATGTTTCAAACAATTTAGATCTTCTGATTATGCAACTGACAAATGTCTTAGATTTCGAAATTATAAGGAAACAAGCCTCTTTTACTCAGAAAAGATGTCGTAATGCAAGGTAAGATTATCTATAATTACTCATAAAGGAACTTCAAGATTTTTAGTTAAAAATATATTCTATATTATGAATAAATATAATACACTGTGGTAAATTATCAAACTATGCACAAGAAAAGGGTATGTATTATTCTCTATTGATTAATAGAAGGTCTAACATAAATTTGTTATATTTTTTCTTCCGGACATTTCTTCTCAAGTATAAAATATCAAGCCATTGATTGCATCTCATCTAATTTTGTTTTTCCATCATCACCTTCAGTAGATTGTTGTAGTATTTGAAATGTGTTCTTTTTATTTTTATCATCGTTCTCAACACCAAGCTTAACATTTTCTTCTACTAATTTAGACGTTTCATCAGTTTCAGTCTTCCGAATTTCACGGATTTCTTTCATTATTGAATATCAACCTGGTTTTGGGATTGTTTTGGGTTTCTCGTGTAAATGATAGTATACATTTTGTCAGGAATGGCTTCATATACAGCCATCTCCGCTGGTTTAAATGAAGTTGGATATAACTACAATTCTAAAATTAAAATAAAAGTTGGGTTCAAAGTGTTAAATACATACATCAAATTGTCTAGTTAAGTGAAAA